GTCCCTCATTTTGACAGTCCAGAACAGTTATTGCCATATAATCGGTATAAAAAAAAAAAAGGGGGGGGGGTTGTCCCTAGACCATCTCCTTAAAAGTTCCATTTAGTAGTAAAACTATGGAGAAGCAAGACAAGTAAATGCCAGAAGACCCAGTGTTGCCAGACATGGAAAAAAGACAAAAGACAAAAAAAAAAAAAGTTCCATTTAGTAGTAAAACTATGGAGAAGCAAGACAAGTAAATGCCAGAAGACCCAGAAAGAGAAAGGAAAGTAAGTGCCGCTGGGAGAAACTGAGTATTCAGCCCTCCAAACGTTGCCCATCACACCGTCTCCACTGCGTGTGTGTACACGTGCATGTGTGGGTGGGTGTGTGTGTGAGAGGGGGTCGTGGTGGGGGTGAAAATTAGCGAGTGTATTGTTGCTCATTTCGCCCCGTGTATAAAATAGCTAAAATATGATTCTGGTATGCATACTTTCTTTATAAAGGCCCAATTCCTCTTTTATCAAGTAGTACCAAGCCTGAGATGAAATGGGTTAATGAGGGTAAGAAACTTAGCCAATCACGTTATGACTTTGACCATATAAACGCTTGACTGGAGTTAGACACTAGCATTGACTTAGAACCCATTGTGAATCTACAGCAATTAATTAAAAGACCATTCCAACTGCCCTCAGGAGCTTACACTCTAATGAACAAGGCTGGCTGAATAAAAACAGGAAAAAGATAACTACAAGTCCCAAGTACTAGGAACATAAAATTATGTACATGACCAGCCTCTGCTACAGCTGAACAAAGATGGATACATTAAGGACTAATTAATCACAGAGAGTTTAAACACCCACTCCAAATCTCACACACATACACCCTAACATCCTAACTCTGGAGTGCTTAAAACCAGAGCGAAAACTTGCATGGAGATAATACATTTTGAAGAGAATTTCAGAAGGGGAGGAAATAGGATTTGAGGAAAAGGATTAGGATGCTAGTGATAGGCACATGAATAATCCAATGGATTGGAAGCTCTACAAGGGCAGGGCTCCTGTCCGTCGTGTCCATTGCTTGTCCCCAGCTCCTAGTGCAGCACCTTGCGTTTGGTAAGTACTTCAAAATGCTGTGAGTAAACGAGTGGAAAGGAAAGAGGAGAGGGCCAGCTCGAAGGTGAGAGATGATTTTTTGAAGAAAGAAGAGCACGGTAATCAAACTTCTCCTAAAGAAAAGAGTGCAATGAGTTCAGAGAAAGACCCCGCAGTATTAAGAAAATGAGACTATCAACTACTAATTGCTAATACTGATCATTTATCCCCTCAGATGAGGAGCTTGATCTGGAAGAGGATGACGGTGGCACTCGACGAAAAGGAGGTATAAGCTTCATACATGCACAGGCACTGGGTAGGACATTCAGGCTTCCTACTAGAGAAAGCACCTTTCCCCAAGCCTACAAATATTAATGGACTCAATAATTAAGAGGGTACCGGTGTGTGACCCCAAGAGCCCCAAATAAAGTGACCGAATAAGGAAATATCTTAACTTTAAAAGCAGCCACCCATTCACTTTAATTAATGTTCCCAGAACAGCTTAGATTTATCCTGGAGAGCCAGACCAGATATTTATTTTTTCCTATCAGTATTTCTTAAATCAGTACAGTGAAAATAGAATTGCCTCATCTCTAAGAGATCAGAGGATTGAGAATGGAAAGAATGGAAATGTCTCCTCTCTGAGAGGCCCGGAGATTGCAAGTTCAGAGGGGAATGGAAATGTGTCAGATCTGAAAAGTGAACCAGGGGAGAAGGATAGAACTGCTTGATGATGCTGACTTCTGACGGCCTGGTTCGATTCCAGGCACATTTGGAAATGAATATGTAACAGGTTTGTTGAATACAAAATTACATCTTATTCATCCCAGACTGTTAACCACGCTTCAGGCTGTTAGCGAGCCCATCCCTTCTAAGGTCAGATACCCCCCTGAAGCCTCCTTAAGTAGACCAAGGACCTACTCCATTGTGGTCGGCAAAGGAATGCCGCGCCTTGCAAGGGCCTCCTCAAGGGCATTCATTCCATCAGCAGAGTCTGAATCATGACTGATGTATATACCAGGTGATTGTTTCTTAGAGCATCTGTGAGAATCTCAAGCTAGGAATTCTTTCCCTTTCCCTCCCTGCTCCTTCTCCATTTCTCTGACCCCACCGTTTTCCATTCTCCTCTCTCCTTTCCTTGCACCTTTTCTCTTAGCCATTCAGCAAAGCCCCCTTTCCTGCTTCAGGAAGTGAATACTTAGAAGGTTTATGAAGGACCCAACTTCATAAGGGTCCAACTTCTCCCAGGGGAGAGAAAAGGCAGTGAAGAGACAGCATCAGAAGTCAGGGGCCAAAGCAGAGGAGACAGCGAGCGCTGAGGCAGCGGTGGTGCGGGGAGGACGCATAGCTCCCAGGCCTCCTGACAACTCGCACGTGGAGTTTAACCCATTCTGAAACCTGTCTTCTGCTGTTTTCTACTTACTGTGCATAACTCCAACAGAAAGTCTGTTCTGACCAACCCATGTCCCACATATGTCTTTTCTCAACCAATTTCCCTCGCCAGGGCAGAAGAGAAACACTTCACGTGGCCAGCTTGGGTGGAGGATCTGCAGCTTCCTATGGCCAACTTTAAATCAAACTCCATTCAGGAAGCACCAGTCTTCCGGCACAGCCCGAAATTTAGTTTCTGACTCCTCCCGCACCTCATTTCCTCCCTCCACCTCTCTCCCTAAGTTATATTTGGGAGGTGAGAGAAGATTTATTTCTTAACTGTTTCAACAGCTATAATTCAAGTAGGTTTTAAAAAAACCCCTTTGTTCCTCATGCTTCCTGCCTCCAAAATAGGTGTTATTAAAGTATAGAGAGCTCTAAATATGTTCCTATGGTTTATACTT